GTCAGGCGCACCTTAGTCCTCAAGATGACATCTTTGCTCTTCAACACTTTAAAAAGGTCTTGTGCAGCAGATTTGCCTAATGCAATACGTCATTTCATTTCTTGACTGCTGCTTCCACAAGTGTTGATAGTTGATCCAAGAATAAAGTCCTTGACAAGTGTAATCTTTTCTGTTGTTAAGAATGTTGTTTATTGGTCCAGTGGTGAGGATTTTTGTTTTCTGTATATTGAGATGTAATCCATACTAAAGGCTGTGCTCTTTGATCTTCATCAGTAAACTGCAAGGTTGGCGGTTCAAACTCACCAGCTGCTCCTTGGAAACCCTATACAGGGTGGCTATGAGTCAGAACTGACTTGATGGCATTTAACAACAACAACGATATAAACGATATTATAAAATTATGCGTGGGCAAAATAGCCATTCAATGTATAAGCTAGATCAATGCACTCAATGCAACAAAGTACGGAATCGTCAATAAGCTGGTTTCAGATGCCACTGCCCAACTCATCTTTACAGAATTAAAACCTGTTTAGTTTTTTATAGAATCAAATAAGAATATCCACAATTATCTGAAAAGACTATTAGACTACTTCTCCTTTTTCCAAATATTTTATCTGTTTGAAGTGAGATTTTCCTCATTTATTTCCATCAAAACATATTACAACAGATATGACAATACTACTATTTACAAAAGGTTAACTTTCATTAGTGAGAGATTTATAAAAAAAGGTAAAACATGGAGCCTTTCTAAATTGTGTTTTGTTTGTTTTTTAAAAATTGCTATTTATATTAGCATATGATGGATTATTTTAAATGAATTAGTAATGATTTGAAATTTTTCTATTGGAATTTCTAACATGGTAAGCACAGATAGAATCTATATAAACAGAAGCTCCAGAATATTACTCAATCACTTGGAAAGGTATAAAGGGACGCTGCGGAAAAAAATCTTCCGAGCATGAAAGTCTGAAGTTTTAAGTTTTTTCCTTTTCACTTATACAAGATATTGAAATTCTTGTTCTTTCTTTGGTACAATGCCAAGTAAATCTTTGTATCCTGAGACTTAGCAACATTCCTAGTCATAATAAATATACGAGTTCAATGAATATAAATATGGATTCCATGAGCAAATCAATGAACACAAATAATGTAATAATAAATCCATTAATACACACAAAGCAAATCAATGAACACAAATAATGTAATAATAAATCCATTAATACACACAAAACAATGAATGATATCTACTATATTTAGAACACACACACAGACACAAACACTAGGGGTCCTTGAAAAGCACGTGGAAAAATTCCATTATTTTTCAATTCCATTTCCATGAATGGTTCCAAGGCCCCTTGTGTATGCATGTATGTATATTGATTATGCATGCTCAAGTGACTGAGTTCCTTGGAACCTCACACCATGCCTATTACCTATCATTTGCCTAAAATACCTAGTCCAACAAGATGAACTCTTTGAATATTTACATTCAGCAACAAACTTCAGTTAAGTATGGATATCTAGACTATTTAAAATACTGATGTCTGAAACTGTATATATCTCCTTCAAATATCATTTTTTAAATGTTTATTGTGGTTAGAAGTAGGTTTACATTTAGACTAGACATTTCCTAATGTCATTTTATTAAATGTAATATATTGTCAATATATTTGGCTGTCAAAGAGACACAACAACAAAAGATACATGAAATCCCCAAAGTACACCAAGATTTTATATTCAACATCAACTTAACTGTCTTCCATTCCTTTAACTCAGAATCACTGAAAATAAGTAGAGAGAGGAAAAAAAAAAAAAAAAGTTCACACCTCACCAGCTGCTTCTCGGAATCCCTATACAGGGTTGCTAGGAGTTGGAATTGACTCAACAGCACAGAAGAACAAAAGAAAAGTTACAGAAGCTAGAGAAAGAGAGCTGGTCAACCTGTCCACAATTAAACAAAATGAACAATGAGAAAATTTACCACTTTTCTCTAACAGACTTATCCTTAGTAATTCGGAAAAATTTTGCTTTTCACCTACTTTTGCCACACTTTTTCTCCAAGGTGTACACTTTTATAATGAACAGTGAGATGGTCCCTACGACCAAAACATTTCCCGCATTCTTCACACTGATGAGCCTTTTCACCTTAAAATAAAGACCAAAATACTTTTTGATTATGATATAACCAAACAGTAAGTTCACATTGTGGGAAATACATTCAAAAAATCATCCTTTAGTCTTGACTATTTGCTTTATATTCCTCACTCAAGTATCTTTCTTGGTGATCTTTCATGATGTGAATCCTTTCCCCACCTGGAGAGGAAATCAGTAGCCTTTTGGTGTAAAACTTGAATCTTACTTTTCAACATATAGAAGATAAATGAACTTACTTCCAAATATGACTCTTTTTTAAAAAGGAATATATGTAGATATTAAACACCAGTAAGAACACACATTGAATTAAGATGAGGCTATCTTACTGCTTATAAAGAGGAACCAAACATTTTCAGATCTTTGTATTTCACTTTAAAAATGTTTTCATCTGTGGGGATTTCTTACATTTGCAATGAGCCAAAATGCAAATACAAAGGAATTTGGAGATGACCCCAATTTCTCATCTCAGTCCTAAAATTTCGTTACAAAGAATTGTCTTTTGAAAATCAGTGTGTAAATAAAAACCATGTGTCCCCTAAAATTAGGAATTACAAATTCTCCTCCTAAGACTGAAAATGCATACTTTCAATTTTTTTGAGGTTTTTTTTTTTTTAAGTCATCAGACCATCTAGCATCTTTTAAAAGTGGTGATAACAATCATAACTTATCTCATAGGAATCTTTAAGAAAATAATTACTGTCTGTTGCATACTTTATACTTAAATTGTGTTAATAATAATCACCTTTTCTACTGTGCTCCTACAGATGGCTCTTTCTCATTATTGTGCTCACAGAGTTGGCTCCCTTAGTACTTCCTGAACATCAATCTGAGAGGAAAATATGAAAGAAATCCCCAGAATATAAAAATTGTGAATACAGTGTAAAGATCTGAAATTGATTAGGATTATTAAAGCATTTGTTTCCAAAAATAGGATTTCAAAAGTCATTTAAATATAAACATCCAATTATAATCATTTCCCTTTAAACACCTAACATTTGCAAACTTCTCAATCCAATCAAAATGTGAAATATTACCTTAGCTTCTCCTTTTGAGGCATTGCCAACAGCAAAGACTTTCAACAATCTCATTTTATGTGCAAAGTGCAAAGTTTGAATTAAAATCAAACTTTTAAAAATATACTTTATAGTAAGAGAGTAGTGGACAAAGGACTAAAATTACAGTTTTCAAAAGCATGTCATAGAATTTAAGCCCCTCTCATGTGGTGCTTTGGGTTAATGCGCCGGACTGCAAAACCATTTAAACTGCAAGGTTGGCGATTCAAGCTCACCAGCTGCTCCTCGGAAACCCTATAAAGAAAGGGTCGCTATGGGTCAGAATTAACTCGATGGCACTTAACAACAACAACAACAGGTGCTTTTGCAACAAAATTTTAGAATCAGCTTTATGGATAGGAGACCAACATATGCAAACTATTAAATATTATAGCCAACATAAACATTATGTAATGTTACACTGTGTGCAAGTGTTTTTTTGAAAAGGTTTTGGAAGCAGCATTAGAAAATACAACTTACCTGAATGTATTCTTTTGTGCTTTGTAAGGTGGTCATGACGAATAAATGTTTTTCCACATTCATCACACTCATATCTTTTATCATCATGATGTACTCGTAAGTGGAGTCTATTAAAAAGATTGTAGAGCAATGAAACCAAAAGAAGGAAAAAACTGATAAATTATTAATAATGAAAACAGGGATGTTTACTCAAACACCTTTGTAGATTGTTCTATTGCTATGTCTTTAAGAGTCCTTCTCTTTCACTACCTGACACCAAGAAGCCTATTTTCCTCTTTCAAAACAATATTTCAACTTTCACACATGCTCCTGCCACTTTCAGATGATATTTGTTTCTGACATGTTAGATCCTAAATCTACTCAACTCAACCTTCAAATGTCACAGCTGTTATCTATTTGATTCGTTGAGTCTTAGTATATCAAGGTTAGCAGGGAATCATTCAGGAATTAAAATGATACAAATGCGGTAAGGCTGTAAGTGACTAACAATATGCTAATGATAGCTAACAAAACAGCAAGTAATTGTGAATCAATCTTATGCTGGACAATTGGTACCACTTGTAAACTAGTAGCTGAGCGCTTACTGTATAACTATTGGAGGTGGTCATGTGCTGTGAAGTCAGTTCCAACTCACAGACATCCTGGATAGGGTTTCCTAGGCTGTAAATCTTTATGGGAGCAGAACACCTTCTCTTTTTCCCAAGGAAGCGGTTGGTAGTTTTGAACTGCTGACCTTGTGGTTAGCAGCCCAACTCGTAATTTTATATAAGTAGACCTGGTTGTTGTTGTTGTCAAGTGCTATTGAGTCGATTCCGACCCTGTATAGGGTTTCTGAGGAGCAGCTGGTGAGCTTGAACCACCCACCTTGCAGTTCAAATGGCTTTGCAGTCTGGCGTATTAAACCACAGCACCACACCAGGACTCCAGACCTAGTGGTACAGTAGTTAAATTACTAAGTTGCTAACCAAAAGTTTGGCAGTTCAAACCACCTAGTGGCTCCATGGGCAAAAGATGTGGCAGTTGGCTTTCACAAAGATTTGCAGCCTTGGAAACCTATGGGACAGTTCTACTCTGATCTATAGGGTCTCTATGAGTCAGAATCAACTCAACAGGTGAATTTGGTTAGGCTTTATAACAATTTTTACATTTTACTATGTAATGTGGTTCATTTTATGCCCAAAGGCAGATAGATGATAAAAGATACTAATCAAAATGTATTTCAATGTAAATAATTTATCACAACAGAACCACCGTCTCAATCTTGAAGAATATTCTTACTCAAACTGCCAGAATATATGTTTACTGTGCCATAACTAAAACATAACTAGCTAGATTAAGTTAAAAGGGGAAATATTGTTTATACATAATAATAGGTAAACATTAAATTAAAAAATAAGCATTACAGAATTGAGATTAACATTTTTAAGAGTACTTGAAAGAATTCAAATTGGACACATCTTGTTGTTGCTAAGTGCCATTAAGTCTATTCTAACTCACTGCAACCCCATGTGAACCACCATGTGTTATAGGTAGAACTGCTCCATACGGTTTTCTTGGTTGTATTCTTAATGGAATCAGATAGCCAGATCTATATTCCATAGTACCACTGGGTGGGTTTGAACCCACAACCTCCAGGTTAGAAGCTGAATTTCTTCAATAAAACATAAACAGTAAATAAAAGTGTAAATGGTAAAGGCTTAGAGGAAAATTCTTATGAGTAATAAAACATCCAAGTATTCATAGAAAGTGGTTGTTGTCGGTTCCGACCCACAGAGACCCTGCATAGGGTTTCCAAGAGCAGCTGGTGAGCTTGAACTGTCAATCTTGTGATTCAAACCTACTTTACAGTCCAGTGCATTAACCCACAGTGCCACACCAGAAAAAGTGGTAACCTACCATTTATTCACACAAACACACATACACAGAAAAACCTCTTATAGATTTACCAAGGATTCAGTCATAAAAATAAATAAGTTATAAGTATTACACATAAGACTTTCTAAAATTTAGAATCTCAGAGTTTTCAATTTTGCTTTTTACACCAAAAGTATTATTTGTTAGCAAAACTGACATAGCAAACTAAGTTAAAAATACCAGTTTTAACGAATTTTGACTGATTCAAAGAGCAGTAACTAAGACAGTATATACTAAGAAACATTTTAATTCAACATATTTAACTAAAGCAATGATAAGAAAATAAAATTAAAATGAAGAGGCTATTTCATCTTACTGAATATAGTAAACAAAATGGTTGGATTTACCTGTATGAGCTTCCATGACGAAAACTTTGTCCACAAATACTACAAAGATGAGGTTTTTCTCCACTATGAATTCTCAAATGTTCTTTCAAAGTAGTTCTGTGTTAAATAAACATATTTACATTTTGTTAAAGATTATAAGTACTGAAGACAGTCAAAATTTATATGCAATTTTATGGCAAACATTACTATGCTTCTGCATGCTTCTCCCTGATCATGTTCATTTCCCCCTGCTTCCCACTCAAAAAAACTCAAAATGAGCAACGATAACCATTGCTTTTTTTGTTCATTTTACTACCTGGGTATTTGTCACAAAACTATATGTATTGTATGTTTCAGCAAAACTGAGTGTTTTTGTTATTAAATGCTGTCGAGTTTATTCCTACTCATAGTGATACTGTAAGGGTTACCAAGGTGGGTTTGAACTGCTGACCGTGAGGTTAGCAAACCAGTGGTTATCCTACAGAACCACACCAGGTTTTAACTAAAGCAGCAAGTACAAACCTAATCATCTTTTCACTATTAGATAACGTACCCAGAAGATTAAACATAAACAGTATTTCTAGACCTGAGTCTGCCTGCAGTTTTCCTGAGAGCTAATAAGAACAAGAGCTCTTTTTGACACTTAACTGTGTAAAGCCACGAATAAATATTAGGAAACAGGGATCACAATAGTTGGAGCATCTGTCAGAGTTAGAATATATCAAGTACTAGAAATACTGTACTCAAAGTGATTTAGATATATTGCTATTCGTTTTACCATGGCCTACCTCTAACTGCAAAGTCAGTGGTTCAAGCTCACCAGCTGCTCCGTGGAAACCCTATACAGGGTCGCTGTTGGTCAGAATCGACTCAACAGCACTTAACAACAACAACCTTTAACTCTAATAAATAGGTTAAAAAAAAAAAGAACATTTCTATGAGATGAAATAAAGAAACAAATAAAATAAGGAGCAAGACAAAAAGATAAGCATTGTGGATAAGTGCTGCTGAGTCAGTTCCAACTCACAGTGACTCTGTACAGTGTTTCTGAGGTTATAAATCATTACAGGAGGAACAAGCTGATGAATCTTTCTCCCGAGGAGCAGCTAGAGTGCTCAAAGTGCCGACCTTATGGTTCTCAGTCCAATGCTTATCTGACAAAGCCACTGTGGTCCCAAGATAATAGCAGGAATATAATGAAGACTCAGAGTCAGATTCTAGCATTCTGTCACCTTGTTAAAAGAGAAAGCATGCCAATACAGACCTTAGTAATGACAACCCTGAATATATCTGAGTAATGATAACCTAGAGTAACTATTGCTATTATGGTCACTGTGAGTCGGAACTGACTTTATGGCACATAACAACAAGAAGCCCATTAATTACAAGAATCTTCATTCACCATCCTCCTGAGAATTCCCTTTGCCTCTCTCCTGTGTAGAACTCCCACTTCCCTAAGCTCATACTGTTTCCTTTATTGGTTCACTCTCTCATTTTGGTAGAGCACATCCTTCAGTAGCATTTTGAGAAAAATAATACATGAAAAAGTTTTGAGACCTTGAAAATATCCTTATTTTAGCTTCAAACGTAATTGCTAATTTGAGACAGAATTATGGGTAGGAGATCATTTTCTTTTGAAATTTTATAAAATAAAATTTTGTAGTATTTTTAGTATTAACATTACAAGAGAAGGTCAAGTAATTGTAATTCTTGATTCAAAGAATGCGACCTTTATCCCTTCCTAGAATTAATTCCTAGAAGCTTAGGAAACCATCTCTTTGTCTTCAGTGTTGTGAGACACCACAGGAATACCAGTGGTGTAGGTTAATTTTCATCTGATGTCCTAAGCATGTGATGGATCATTACATTTATTCACACAAACACACATACACAGAAAAACCTCTTAAAGACTTACAATGGATTCAGTCATAAAAATAAATAAGTTATATATATTACACATAGGACTTTCTAAAATTTAGAATACCAAAGTTTTCTATTTTTCATCTCTGGAACATTCTCTTAAATTATTTCAGTGATGTCTTCATCTCACCCCATTTTTGGTTGTTTTTTTTTTCATTTGGGAGCTTCATCTGGCCTTTAATGTTTTTGTCTTTGCTTCATATTTCTGGGGTGTTTTGCTTTACTTTTTAGGGGTTCTCTTTACCTTTGTCCTCTAATTCCCCACTGTGGTTACTACTTCAGCCATCATGCTTTTTAATTTCTGAGACTTCTGGTTTATTATCTGAGTGATCTCTTTATATCACATCTTGTTCTTGTTTAATGGGTTTGTTCTGTAACTATAACTCTTTAACGTGTTCAAGAGCAAAGATACCAGTTTGAGGACTAAGGTGCGCCTGATCCAAGTTATGGTATTTTCAACAGCATCATATGTATGTGAAAGTTGGACAATTAATAAGACCATAAACAAATTGATGCATTTGAGTATGGTGTTGGAGAAGGATATTTAAAAGTACCATGGATTGCCAGAACAAATCTGTGTTGAAAAAAGTAGAGCCAAAATGCTCCTTAGTCAGGATGGTGACACTGTGTCTCTCATATTTAGGACATATTATCAGGAGGGACCAGTTCTTAGAGGACATCATGCTTGGTAAAGTAGAGGGTAAGTGAAAAAGAGGAGGATCCCAATGATATGGATTGACACAGTGACAGTAGCAATGGACTCAAGCAAAAGAATGCTGTGAGGATGGTACAGGAACAAGCAGTGTTTCGTTCTGTTGTACACAAAGTCGATATGAGTCAGAGCCAATTCAACATAATCTAACAACCACAACATATCTTCAGCTAAGGATATTAACTGTTAACGCTTTCTTCTTCCTTATAATCTGTTTCCTTAAGTTCTTTTTATTCTGTTTGTGTTGGAATCTAGCTCCCATATTAAAAGCTGCCCTGCTATGTATTGTAATCCTAACTATTTGCTTAGGATAAAGTGTGACAGGCTAAAAAGTAGATGGGGAGGTTGAAGAGTATGGGTGTGTTTTTGATAACTCAGTTTCACGGTATGTGATCTGGGGTGCCATCAGTTAGGGAATAAATTTATCCTGAGGTTGCTCATATTTTCAAGAAATAATCTTGTAATCTATGACCGGAACTATAAAGTCTAAAAGACAAGACATTTCTGGGGTAAGGGACAGGACTCCCTGCTCTCAGTATTCAATCACATTTGTTATTGTTGTTAAATGCCATCAAGTCACTTCTGACTCAGAGACCCTGTATAGGGTTTCTGAGGAGCGGCTGATAGCTTGATCCTCTGACTTTGCAGTCCAGCACATTAACCCAGAGCGCCACACCAGAAACTCCATTCAATCACATGGCATGTCATTTCTGCCCAGGAATCCTATTTTTACCTATCCAGAAGAAACATGCTCCAGATTTCTACCTAAGGAAAGTGAAATAGGTATCCAGCGCAATGACCTATGTAAGTAGTGGAGGGCCTCCAGTGATGTAACTTCTGAAGCAGTTTTATTTTAATGCTTCTTATTCTTCCTCTCCTTTACCAAGTTCCAGAGGTACTAGATACTGATGCTGCCAGTTCCTCAGACTTCTGTCAATTCTGATCATCTCTACACACTGTACCAGAACTTGTCTGGGGGTATAAGTAACTTCTCACCTTTCTCGTACTGATTTTCCACAGATAAAGCAAGTCCATTTTCTCTTTCCACCATGGGTACATTCTATATGACGTTTCAAATTTCCAGTATCATTAAATTGACGACCACATATATCGCATGGAAAAGGACCTTAAAAGAAGAGTGCATTTAAGTCTAAAGTGTAGATACTAAGTTAAACTTTAATAGGTATGCTATGCATGCAAGTCCATCACAATTTGTGCATATATCATCAAAAAAACTAACAGGCAAAAAACACTGCCACTGAGCTGATTCCAATGCATAGCAAGCTTATATAGGGTTTTCCAAGACTGCAAATCTTTATAGGAGCAGACAGCCTCATCTTTCACCTACAGAGATGCATATATCATAGTATACTAAAATTATTTACAGTTTTCTCTTCCCTCTTAGTTTATTTATTCCTACAAAGCAGGTTCTAATCATCTCTTTATCCCTAGAACAGAATATGGGCAAAGGCTTCTAGCAATTATTATAATGTTGAATAAACTAATGAGTTAATACATTTAAATGGCTAATACCTAGTTTGAAATCAGACAGCAACAGTGTAGTATATGCTAATACTAAATGCTCAAGAAAAGGGGAAAATGAGAAACTTTGGAAGAATAACCAGAGAACTTCATGGTTTGGAAAAGTACTGCTGATCCCACTCCCAAGTTTTTACTGATCTTGGAGCAGATGGAAAACACTATTATGCAATTCTGTTTAGTCATACAGAATTAGGTCCAGATTTCTCACAATAATACTGGTATTAATTGGACTCCAAATTTCACATGATTTTAAGGAATAAGAAAATGGTGAAAAGATAAGAGTTCTACTGAAAGGCAAATAAAAAGAAACATACAGAGAAAATGTCAGAAAAGAAGGATACCAGATACAGTTTTAAGGAAATTTTATTTGGAAGAAAGTGTCTCAGAATTTGAAAGAGTAATTGCAAGAAGCCTTTCTAGCAAAAATAACCATAATATAACAATGGAAAGAAAATGGTATCTAGACACTGGAATTCAGAAATATGTCTATCATCAAAATTGTCCAATAGCCACAGTAGTTTAGAGATAGTTTTAAACTGTTTTTGCACATTAGAAATGAGAGAAGACCTCAAAATATATGCTATCTTTAACATGTTCTCATTTAAAATCTCTAATATTTCATCATCCATAGGATTTAAATCATTTATTAACTCATTCAACAAGTATCTGTTGATTTTAAATTCATATCTAGCATTGTATAAAGTACTACAGAAATTCTTCACTTCCTGAAAAGACTCCAAGAAATTAGGGAAAGCGTCAGTATCTACCTAGTTAAAATACTGCCTAGAGCAAATACATAAATGCCAAATTTATCTTATTATGAGAAGTGTAAGGAGAAGAGTGAGACACTAATGCTTTTTTTTTTTTTTTATGTTTTATTGTGAATTATACGATAGTTTACACGAGAGAACCTCAGTTCCATATTCATTCCGTCATATATCATTACATTGCCATGGTTCCAATCCCCTCCATGCATCATCTTCTGACCAAAGGGCATATCCTAGAAGGCCGTGCTCTACACTCCCCCCTCCTCCCTCAGTCTTCGGCCCACAGTTCCTCTCCCTCTCTGGATCCAGAGTCCCCAGTTGCTTCATCCCTCCATGTCATCATCTCTGTCTCCATCTCAGGCATCCCCGGATCTCTGGGTGGGGGCCCGTTCTCGGCTCTTATCCGTTGGTAGTCCCAGAGACCTCCACTCCTAGACTGGAGAAATAATTGCTCTCTTCCTTGCTACAAAACATCTACCCTTGCATTTCCAACACTCACAATCCGTCTTGATAACCATTATTCACTACAGTATCGCACGTAACCCATCTGCATTTCATTTCATCAGCTCCACCTAAACAAATTGGATAGTACTCACTGGTGATTCTGCCTTCCTCCCTAGTTCTACTTTCCCTCTTGAAAGCTTGTAAGCCAGTTACTTCTTGCCTTTGTAGTCCCTCCCTCCCCATTTGAGTATACAATGTCCAAGTTGTCCCTCTCTGTCTACTCTGTGTGTGGAGGGGTGGGAATGTTTCTTGCTGTAAGGATTTATCACCTCTTTTGTGTCACTGCATTCGTATGCATAGGTCAAGTTCATCAGCTTGGATCAGCTCAATCTTCTTCCCACCACCACTCCCTTCTTTCTTCTCCTGGTTGAGCTCTGATCATCCAGTCATCCAGTCCCGGTCACGTGGGTGTCATCTGCAAGTGTGGGTGCTCTTGTGCACATGTCCTCTCTTCCCATCAGCCAGCAGCTCCATTCTCCACTTGAGTCCTCCGTGGCCACGTCACTGACTCTGGGCCCAGGAGTCCTCGGGTCTCCTCGCACTGCTTGCCAACCAGGTCCCCAACCCAGTCCACAGAAGCCCTCTGAATATTGTTGAGGCTTAGCTCACCGCTTCATTGCTGCCTTTACCCCATTTCTCCACAACGTTGATGTGTGTGTTTACCAATCCGAGTGTGCATTTCCACCGAGTCTCAGTTTTTTTTGGGGGGGGGCCTACATTGGTGGGACCCGACTGACTGCCCCAATGTCTCCTAGGGGAGCGACCCATTTGTTCTTGTAGTAGCAGTCCATCTGTCTCCATTGTGTCGTATTTTTCCTGTAGGTCTTCCATTCGAGACATATCTTTTGTTCTTCTCACCATTCCAGGCTCGTCAGCTCGTCCCTTCAAGTGGGGATTTCTCATCTCTGGTGATCTGGATGTGGTTCTGGTTTCTACCTATAGTTTTATGTATTGCAAAGGCTCCGCAGAAAGCCTCGTTAACCGGGTACGCTGCAGCCCCGTTTTAGGTATTCCAATCAGTTAAAGGCAGAAGATGGACTTACAAGCCTTCTGACACTAATGCTTTTTTGTAAAGTAATTACTATATGTATAGCTGAAAGCTCCAGCTCAGTTACTCATCACAGCTTTTTAAAAAATGCAGACATTTTTTCCCTATACTGACATCCAGTTTCGTAGACAATTTAATGTCCTTGAACTTTTCTTCATGAAGTTAAACTGGAATGAAAGCAGATCTTCTTGGCAACTCTCTAGATAGAATAAATATCTTTTATTTGACTTGTTAAAGTCAAACCCTGTAATTTTTATACCACTAAACACAAATAAATTTTTAAAAAAAATACCTTTTCCCCTAATTGTACAGTATACATTACTTAGATGGTCCTCCCCTGAATTTGGAACATATGAAATCCTATGTGTTGTTATTGTTGTTAAGTGCCGTTGAGTCAGTTCTGACTCATACTGATCCTATATAGGTTTCCAAGGAGCAACTGGTGAATTTGAACCACCGACATTGTGGGTTCAAACTGACCTTGTGGTCTGGTGCTTATCCTATAGCACCACACCAGAACTCTCCAACCCTTTGTAAGTAGCATGAACATGGCTTTGAGAAACCTAAGGCAGTTCTCAAAATGTAGTGATGAACCAACAGGCTCTGAATCACTGAGAACTTAGAAATGCAAACTTGTGTGGCACACACTCCAAACCTACTGAATCTGATGCACTGGTAGGAGAATTGGCTCAGCAGCCTTTGTTTTAATAAAACACCCAGCTGACTGTGGAGAACTAGTGTGGCACTATAAGATAAGCACTGGACTGCTAAATATCAGGTCAGCACTTCAAACCCATCAGTTGCTCCTCAAAAATCCTAAAAAGACTTAGCAACAACAACCACCACCAGCTAATTCTGAAACACACCAAATCGGGAGAACCACTCATCCTAGATATACAATGATTTAAAGGAAAAAAAGTAACAAGAGAAATACAAAGCACATATATGTATATAATGATGCACAGAATGGTAATTAGGGTTCAGTGAGGAATTCTCAGTTTCCACGTGGCAGACCCAGATTCAATTCCCCAACAATGTATCTCATGTACAGCTACTACCCATTTGCCAACCACAACGTCAACTCAGATAAACATTACAGAAATTATTTGATCAGTCGTAAAATATTTGTGGGTGGGTATGGCATTTAAGAACATATCCAGATCAGTCATGAGGTACAACACTGTCTGTGATAGGATAATATCCATGCACCTACAGAGAAGCCCAGTTAATACCACTATTATTCAAATTTCTGCACCAACCACTAAAGCCAGTTAGGATGAAATAGAAGAATTCTACCAACTTCTTCAATCTGAAATTGATCAAACATGCAATCAAGATATATTGATCATTACTGGTGATTGGAATGAGAAGGTTGGGAGCAAAGAGGAAGGATCAGTAGTTGGAAAATATGGCCTTGGTGATAGAAATGATGCTGGGGAACCCATGATAAAATTCTGTAAAACTAATGATTTGTTCATTTCAAATACCTTCTTTAGACAGCATAACAGACAACTATACACATGGACCTCGCCAGATGGAATACATAGAAATCAAACTGACTACATCTGTGGAAAGAGACAATGGCAAAGCTCCATATCATCAGTGAAAACAAGGCCAGGGGCAGACTGTGGAACAGACCATCAATTACTCAAATGCAAATTCAAACTGAAGTTGAAGAACATGAAAACAAGTACACGAGAGCCAAAATATTACCTTGAATATATTCCACCTGAATTTAGAGATCATCTGAAGAACAGATTTGATACATTAAACATTAAAGACCGAAGACCAAAAGAGTTATGGGATGACCTCAAGAACATCATACATGAAGAAAGCAAAAAGTCATTGAGAAGACAAGAAAGAAGGAAAAGGTCAAAATGGATGTCAGAAGAGACACTGGAACTTGCTCTGTAGCATAAAGATGCTAAAGTCAAGTGGAAGAAATGAGAAGGTCCAAGAACTGAACAGAAAATTTCAAAGATCAGCTCGAGAAGATAAAGCCAAATATTATAATGAAATGTGCAAAGATCTGGAATCAAAAAATCAAAATGGAAGAACACGCTCAACATTTCTCAAGTTGGGGGAACTGAAGAAAAAATTCAAGCCTTGACTTTCGTTATTAAAGGATACTCTGGGCAAATTACTGAATGATGCAGAAAGCATCAAGAGAAGATGGAAGGAATACCCAGAGTCACTGTACCAAAAGGAAATGGTTAATGTTCAACCATTTCAAGAGGTACCATATGATCAAGAGCCAATGATAATGAAGGAGGAAATCCAAGGTGCGTTGAAGGAACTGGCAAAGGACAATGAACCAGGAATTGATGGAATCAAAATTGAAATCTTTCAAGAAAGTGAAGCGGCATTAAACACACTCACTCATCTTTGCCAAGATATTTGGAAGACAACTACCTGGCCCACTGATTGGAAGAGATCCATATTTGTGACCATTCCAAAGAGAGGTGATCCAATAGAAAGCAAAAATCATCGGACAGTATCTTTGATATCCCATGCAAGTAAAGTTTTACTAAAGGTAATACAGAAACAGTTGCAAGCATTCATTGACAGAGAACTTCCAGAGGTTCAAGCCTGATTCAGAATAGGCCATAGAACAAGGGATATCATTGCTGATGTCTGATGGATCTTGGCTGAAAGCAGAGAATACCAGAAAGATGTTTACCTGTGCTTCATTTACTAAGCAAAAGCTTTCAATTGTGTGGATCATGACAAGCTGTGGACAACATTGCGAAGTTATGAGTATTCCGGAACACTTAATTGTGCTCATGAGGAATCTGTACATAGACCAAGAGGCAGTTGTTTGAACAGAACATGTGAACACCAAATGGTTTAAAATTAAAAAAGGCGCATGATAGGGTTGTATTGTTTCACCATATTTATTCAACCTGTATGCTGAGAAACTGGGATCTATGAAGAAAAAGGTGGCATCGGGATTGGAAGAAGACTCATTAACAACTTGTAATATGCAGATGATACACCCTTGCTTGCTGAAAGTGAAGAGGACTAAAAATACTTCCAGATGAAGATCAAAGAGCACAGCCTTTGGTATGGATTACATCTCAATATAAAGAAAACAAAAACCCTCACCACTGGACCAATAAACGTCATTCTAATCAACGGAGACACAACTGAAGTTGTCAAGGACTTCATTCTTCTTGGATCAACCATCAATACACATGGAAGCAGCAGTCACGAAATCAAACGATATATTGTATTAGGCAAATCTGCAGCATAAGACCTTTTTTAAGTGTTGAAGAGCAAAGATGTCAGCTTGAAGACTGAGGTGCACCTGGCCTAAGCCATTGTATTTTGAATAACCTCATATGCATGCAAAAGCTGGACAGTGAATAAGGAAGACCATAGAAGAATTGATGAATTTCAGTTATGGTGTTGGAAGGGAATATTGATAGTACCATGGGCTGCCAAAAGAACAAATCTGTGTTGGAAGTGCAGGCAGAGTGCTCTTTGGAGGCCAGGATGGCCCAACTTGGTCTCTCATTCTTCAGACATTGTCAGGAGGGACCAGTTGCTAGAGAAGGATATCATGTTTGGTTAAGATGGAGGGTCAGAGAAAAAGAGGAAGACCCCCAGCGAAGATGGATTGGCAAAGTGGCAGCAGCAATGGGCTCAAGCGTGGCAACAACTGTGAGGTTGGCCCAGGACCGGATAGTGTTTGGTACCGACTTGATGACACCTAACAACAACAACACCTACTTCTTGGAATTTCCACCCACTGAAAATATCATAGAGTGTTTATTTACTAAATGATGTATTAAGTAAAAGTTGAAATAAGTAGAAAAAAAGAGGTGGAAGTAGGTAAATAAAAAAAATGGATGATACTTTGCTATGATGTTTCTAAAATGTGGAATGAGAAGAACACATATAGGTTTTAAATAAGAAACAAACAAAACAAAACAAAAAACCCCCACCAATTCCCCAATGGAAGTTGTTTCTTCTGGAACTAAAGTCTAAAAAAGAATCATCACATGAATATCCAATTGTAAACATGTCTTCACCTAGTTTTGTTAACTACAAAATGTTTTCATATGATGGCTTCTTGGAAATTTTGAGATGGAATACTTGAAAGAACATTTTATTAAAGGCAATACAGAAAGCATTAAGCTAAGGCACATAACCAACCAACCAAAGACAATCTTGCAGTAAATATTACCCATTATGTACTAGCTGTTGTTGTTGCTAACAGCTGTCAAGTCAGTTCTGAAACATAGTGAAGAGTGGCCGGTGAGTTTGAACCACCAACATGATGGTTCAAACCAACCTCATGGTAGACTGTTCATCCTACAGTGCCACACCAGGGCTTCATATGTACTAGTTGTTGTTGAGTGCCATCGAGTCAGTTCCAATTGATAGCAGCCCTGTGTAGGGTTTCCGAGGTGGTATCCTTTATTAAGTAAGAAAGGTCTGATAGTATTTGAAGATAGTGGCTTTATCTAATTTTCCTAGACAAAATATTCCAAGGGCTTACAAAGTTTACCATATGATTTTAAGTCCCTTTATCACTATAATTGCCCACCACAATATACATTTAAGGAGCTATTGTAGTGTAGTGGTTACGAGTCGGACTACTAGCCTCAAGGTCAGCAGTTCGAAACTACCAGCCATTCTGCGGGAGAAAGATAAGGCTTTCTGCTCCTGTATAGATTTACAGCCTCAGAAACCCTGTACAGGGTCGCTATGAATTGGAACTGACTCCACGGCACATTAACTACCACCACAGTATACATTTATAAATAACCACCTTAAATTTGGTATCCAGACATGAACATAATGTTATAGGTCAATTCAAAATTAGACTCTTACCTAATTCTGAACAATATACTTTGATTAATAGTGATTAAAGCCACCTTGTTTGTCAGTTATCTCACATCCTATTCCTGCTATGGCGCTGTATGATAATGCACTGGATTGCAAGGTCAGTTTGAACCTCAAGGTCAGTGGTTCAAACCCACCAGCTGCTCTTCAGAAACCCGACACAGGTTTGCTATGAGTCGGAACCAACCCGACAGCACTAAACAACAACAACATAAAATGAGAAATTTGGATGCTACACCTTTTTACAGCAATGGGCTCAAATGTAACAATTGTGACTTGGCGCAGGACCAGACAGTGTTTCATTTTGTTGTCCTAGGGTCTCTATGGGTCAGAACTGACTTGGCGACACCTAACAACAACAAACAACCTTTTTACAGTTCTGCAAGCTCCAAAGACTAAAAGATATTTCCATAAGATATGTGGTTATTCTAAGTTAAATTTTAACTTAATTTGTTTTGACCAATGAATGGTAAAGCATATAGATATCTTTTCTCGTTTTTATTTGCTGCTATAATGGCAACTAACTTTGATAGTTTTATGTCCTCTATAAATATCGTAAGCATAAAGTATATATTTTTATCCAAGTTGTCAATGAAAACACTCAATAGGATATGGAAGATAAATGTAGCAGAGTGCACACTAATTCATTACTAAGATCAATGGGCATACATTTATCCAACAACTGTAGGTCCTGGGAGGCACACATCGTTTGCACTTGGCTACAACAAGTAGTGAATTACTAAATATGGTTCTTCTAGCCACAGTTTTCAGAACTCCCACCAAATGACTGGGTAAGATCATGCAGATTGGATGTATTTCCTCTTTTCCTATGGCTCTGGATAAGAGAAGGTGGGAGAAGATGCTGACAGGACAATATGATGCAGTTGTGAGTGACTGTGGAACTCTTAATATGGGGATTGGTCAACTTTGACATCCTGCTGGGTATAAAATGACGCATCTTAGGAAGAGGGCTCTCACTACCATCGAGAAAGAAAAGCCGGGCATGCAGCGAGTCCTATGGACCTCAAAATCCAGGAGACAGAGATACAACATCAGAGAAGTGGCAGAGCATATGACAGAGCAGTGGACTTCCAGGTCCACAGAGCAAGTAAAGCTGAGAGCTTCAAGACAGGAGGCACTTAACTGGGGAAGCCAGGTTTACCAACACACTGAGCTAGAGCCGAGCACTGAGGCTTATGGCAGAGTAGGGTGCCCTTTGGACATCTACCACCAGCGCTAAAAGAAGTTTTGTAATACTGCCTAAACAGGACGGAGGCCAGGCAAGAAGCTACAGGCTAGAGTGACTACCTGCTGGAAGGGCCAGAGAGACTGCCTGCTAGAACAACAGGGAAGATGTTAACCTGACCAAAGAACTACATCCTGAAAATTTCTGATACTGAACTGTATCCTGTTAACTTTCCTAACAATCCTGAGTATGGTCTATGAGTTCTGTGTGGTCACTGCAAAGAATTATCAAATCAATCTCTGAAGTACAGGGTGTTTACGGAGAAATGGCTGATGTCAGAACTGGTACGGAAGGTTGAAGGGCAGAGGCAAGTGCAATCTCAGTCGCAGAAGAGTTGGAGCCTTAGGCTGATGTTGAATTGTATTCTACTTCCCCACTGTGAATTTGGAGGAGGTCTGATGATGCCGCCATACTTTTTTTGTTTTGTTTTATCGCTACGAACCAAAAAGATGGCAGTTCGAATGCACCTATGGTACCATAGAAGACAGTCCAATTTACTTCCGCAAGATCAGAGTCACTCTATGAGTGAAGTTCTCTGCTGATACATATGGGATCACCTTGAGTTAGAATCAGATCAATGGTAATGGGTTTACTACCACTGAACTCACAAGTCTGCAACTTGGCCAGAGCACTAGGAAGAAAATTCATCAAATACTATATTGAATTCCAAACATACTGTTTATTGCAGTTCCTGAAAAATAAGGTTTTTTTCCCAACTAAAAATGCCTCATCCCAAGCACTCACAAACATATCCACAATCAACTGTGAATAAACATACACTTCCAGGACCTACAGCAAATCTAGTAAGTACTCCTGCCAATTTACATGGCTTCCATCTCTTCAGCCCCAAAGCTCACCAAGAGTGGTTCAGTAGTAATGAGCAGCTCTAGCAATATCTCATTGATAATCAGTAATATCAGTATTTGCTACGGTTATTTTTAGAAAAAGTCACTTGCTTACCCAGATGGAACTTTTCTTGATGCTTTAATCGTGCAAACCGTGATTTGAAATGTTCTTCACAATAGGTACACTTAAAAGGTTTATCTTGAGAATGTAGAATCATATGTTCCTCCAAGTGTGGTCTTCGAGTAAAAGATTTCTTACAAATCTAAATCAAAGTACACATAAAATATAAGAGAACCTAAATTAAAATTAGCATACAAACCACATGATGAGAAAACACATAACTCACACATATACATATACACACAAATTCAGTGGTCTCAGAAAAATTTCACCCAAGAGAAAACTTACAAAAACTACAATCAATATAAAGAAATTATACTTGTACTAACAAGACAAGCTGTTAGCAATGACATTAAATATTATTTTCATTTTGTGTGAAAATGCCCTAGAAAAAATACAGTTGTGAATTATTTTAAATTAGTATCAAAAGTAACTGAATTTCAACTCCTTAAGTCATCAATAGAGCTACAGAGCAATCTAATTTTAGTCAAGATTCCCAACTCCATGATCTATGTATTTTAAATCACTTAGATGTCATGAATAAAAGTGTTAGCATTGTTACTGCATTATCTGATTAGGAATATTAGTAAGAAACCACAGCAAAGCCATTCCAGATGTTACCTCTTGAAGTGGTCAAAAGGACAAGGCACACTGCTTATGGATTAAAGAAAGGGGAAGGACATTACTGTAGTAATAACCAAGCATGTACTGAGTCCTGGTGTAGTGCTGAGGGTTACTACACTCGACTGCAACGTCAGCAGTTCAAGATTACCAGCCGCTCCTCAGAAACTCTATACAGGGTCACTATATGTAAGAACCAACTCAACGGCACTTAACAACACGAATTACAGACTAAACATATTTGTATACACCCATTAATAAGTAGGAGTCCTGGTGTGGCGCTGCAGGATAAGCACTGAACTGCTAAACCTCAAGGTTTGTGACTCAAACCCACCAGCCCTCTTCAGAAATCTAATAAAGAGGAGCTCTGGTAGCGTAGTGGTTAAGAATCGGGCTGCGAACCATAAGGTCAGCGGTTCAAAACTACCAGCTGCTCTGCGGGAGAAAGATGAGGCTTTCTACTCCCGTAAAGATTTACACCCTCGGAAACCCTGTACAGGGTCGCTATGGGTCAGAACCGACTCAACGGCACTTAACAACAACAAAATCAACAACAAAGCCTTAGAACACTCAACAGCACTTAACAACCACCAACTACATTAGGCAAACTGCTAAGAAGTTGATCTTGTATTTTACTTCTCACAATAACACATAACCCTATGGGACAGATATAAGTATTATCAACTTTTTACAATCGGATATAATAAAATTGAATAAGATTGTATAATCCAAGCAGAATAAACCGTATTTTTATTGTTGTTGTTAAGTGGCATAGAGCCGGCTCTGGCTCATAGTGACCTTGTATAGGATTTCTGAGGAGCAGCTACTGAGTTTGAACTGCTGACCCTGCAGTTCAAACTGAACTTGTAGTCCAGTGCATTACCCTGCTGTGCCACATCAGGACTCCAATAAAATTGAGTAAGGTTATATAATCCAAAGGGAAGAAACCATTTTAGGCCCACTCAAATTGTTAATCATTAACTAGAAGTTGAAATCAGAGAACTGTTATGAATTTTGCTGCATATGAAAACTACTGTCTGGGAATAAGATATAATGTTAGCGGGTGACTCCATTAAACATTTTTTAATCAAAATACAGAAAAAGTAATTTACGGGCATTATAGAATTAAGATGTGTACACATTTTTTGTTATTCCTCCTATTAAAAAGCAGAGTTCTAATTCCCCTTTCCTAAAACCTGAATGGGCTGTAGTGACTTGTTTGACCACGACAGCCAGTTCAAATTTAAGGAAAGGGGAATTAGACTTCACATTTAGAGTATGGGGGAAGTGATGTTCAAGGTTCTGGGACTTCCAAGACTAATCCATAGAAAACCTTGCAGTTTCTACCTAGGCTTCTTGGAATACATACTCTTTGAATCTAATTCCTAAGCTAGATGGAAGCCCCATGAAAAAACCAAATGAAGAATTAAAGTTCCAGGAGGACAGTCCTTGTCCAGATTTTTAGCTATCAGTCAACAACACCATGTTGCCAGTTAGGCGAGTGGCCACCTTGGAAGTATCACTTCAGACCAGAATATCTACCAGTTGAATACCATGATAATATGTACAATAGGAAAATCACCTAGCAAAGTACAGTCCCAAATTTGGATCCTGGATCTACAAAACAGTAAAAGAAATGGCATAGTGGATTAAGGACTGAGTTGCTAACTACAAGGTCAATAGTTCCAACCATGCAATTGCTCTGCAGGAGAAAGACAAGGCTGCCTGGTTCTTTAAAGATTTGGTGGTGGTGGTTACGTGCTGTGAAGTTGGTCCCAACTCACAGAGAAGCTATACAGGGTTCCCTGGGCTATAAATCTTTATGGGACCAGAAAGCCTCATCTTTCTCTCTTGGAGGGGCTGGTAGATTTGAATGGCTGACCTTCATTTTAGCAACCTAACTCATAATCCACTATGCAAGCCTGAGGGGTTCTATTCTGTCCTATAGGGCTGCTATGTGTCAAAAAAGACTAGATGGCAGTGGCAGTGGATGGGGTTAAACTCACCACATTTTAAGGTGGTTTGTTATGAAGCAACAGATAACCAAAAAATAGATGGACAGATTCTACCATTTTATCCTTTGTACAGTAGTATTATTACAGCTTATATACACAAGCGTAAATACATGGTATAGAGATTACAAAAAAAAAAAAAAAAAGAACCCATACAAGGCTTAATTTACAAAAGGAAAACTAAGACAATTTTGTATAAAAGTAAGATTCAAAAAGTTAGGTTATATTATTTTAAAACCTAATTACCTTACTTTCCCAAAAGGCAGCATTACATTTATTTTGGTTTTCTACTACAAAGAAAAAGGTAAAGCTCTTACATCACATTTCCAACTTTCACTCTTAGTCTTCTTAATGGAAATAAATTCTTGTGCATTTTCAAGATGAAATCTATCAGAGAAAAGATAAAATTTACTAGAAAAAGATTACATTACTTTAGTCAATATCCTATATCAGTCTGTTCACAAGTAATCATGAAAATCACACACTGATTCTTACATATGACTTCTTCAAGAATATGGATAACACTGGGTTAATATATCAGACTGGAAAGCCATTTGAATTGCAAAGCAGGCAGTTCAAACTCACCAGCTGCTCCTCAGAAACCCTATACAGGGTGGATATGAGTCATAACTAACTCGACGGCACATAACAACAACAATTGTTTTAATAGATTCCTGTTGTAGCACAGTAATATAAGCACTGGACAGCAAATCACAAGGTTTGTCTACTTTGTGCCTGCTCCATCAATGTACTTTGGAAACAGAATACCTGTAATTTAGATTTCACAGGTTCAGACTTGAGGAATTTTGTCCCTAAAGTTCCACCCATTATTTCATTTACATTATTCAGAATATGAGATTTTGGATTTGGTGCTGATTGAAGACTTTTGAGATATTGTGGTAGGGTGAATGTTTTGAATGTGAAAGGACAGGAATTAGAGAGAGCAGGAGGTAAAGAGTGGCATGTTAAGGATTGAATTGGGTCTGGCAAAAATATGTGCCACATATCCTAACCTTAACCCGTGTAGTTGGAGTCCTGGTGTGACACTGTAGGATATACACTGGACTATTAACTGAAAGGATGGCAGTTCAAACCTACCAGACACTCCTTAGAAATCCTATACAGGATCACTATGAGTTAGAATCAATCAGAAGGCACTTAACAAACATACGCCTGTAGTTAAATCACATTTAGGAATGAGTTGTCTTTGTTATAGAAAGAAAACAGAATTAGTATAGGGTGTATCTTAAATCAATCTCTTTTGAGATACATTAAGACAAGCAAGTTAGCAAAGCAGAGGCAGGGGAAGAAAGATACCAAGACTGCCTAGGAGCAAAAGCTCAAAAAGGACAAAGACCTTCTCCTCCATAGCAGACAGAGAGTAAAAGCCTTGCCCTAGAGTCGGCACCTTGAATTCAGACTTCTAACCTCTTAAATTGCGAAAGAAAATAAATTTTTAACTGCTCACTTTAGTATTTTTGTTATAGCAGCACTAGATAAGCACAACATGAAAAGAAAAAACAAGCTAACCAAAATGCTGCGTCTTAAACTTCTACATTATGACTACAGTTGTTTTCACATCAAAAAATTTAATCTTAAAAGCATAAATACATGAACACATCAACATTTGTTGCTCTTAATTTGTAGCCTCCACAAAATGTCAAGCAATAAAAAAATGAGTTTATTACTGCAAAAAAGGGCATGAGAATGACTATAACGTCTGACCTCCTGAACTTAACAAGGGGGAAGGAGAATCAAATTCATCAACCCAAGGTTGATTCCTACGAGGCAGGGGTCAAACATACTTCTACCCTCCACCATTCCTTACCAAGTCTGTCACCAACTGCCCTTCCCTCAGCATGCTCTACTTCTCATCTGGGTTCCATAGTTCATTGCAACGGACACAGAACTCAAAGACCATCCTTATAAGATTGAGGGCTTTTTTAGGGAAGTTACATGGTTACAATTCAGAATCAGAAATGCTCAAGGCGCTCAGTTAGGAGTGTAGTGGTTATGAATCGGGCTGCAAACCTCAAGGTCAGCAGCTCGAAACTATCAGCGGGAGAAAGATGAGGCTTTCTTGTCCCGTAAAGATGTATAGCCTCGGAAACCCTGTACAGACTGGATCGCGATGAGTTGTAACCTACTCCACGGCACATAACAACAACAACAACTTCCCACAGGCAGGGTTCTCTCTGGTGTCTGGCCTTTTAGCACACAGTTCCTTGGCCTCTGCCCTTCTCTGGAAATATTACAAAGCTCTTTTAAGTTTGCAGATAAATGACCAAAAGGCCTACTTCACCACCATAAACCTCAGACTAAAGGTGCTCAGGAGTCCTGGTGTGGCTCAGTGGGTTAAAGTGTTGGGCTGCAAAGTCAGTTTTAACCGCTAGGTCAGGAGTTCAAGCTCACCAGTCACTCCTTGGAAATCTTGTAGAGTCACTATGGGTTGGAACCAACTCGATGGCACTCAACAACAAAGGTGCTCAGCTCTAGCTCTGTAGGTCAGCAAATCTAGTTCCCCCAATTAAGGCACCTCACTATGCAAGCAGGCCTCTTGCCTGAGGACACTCAGCTCAGCTCTCTGGCTCTGCTCAGCACTGCTCAGCATCACACCTCTGCTGCCGCTGCTCCTCTGCCACTTCTGTGGTGTCTCGGCTCTCTCTCCTGTCTCTGGGAGATTCAGCATGCAGTGATCTTGGGACCCAAAGAACAGGATCCCCTTCTGGCTCTTTATTGACGGTAGTGCGAACACCCCTGCTACTGCTGAAATGACCCATTTTATACCCAGCAGGATGACAAAATTGATCAATCCCCCCATTAGAGCGCCAAGTTTTCACACGGAGCCCTATTTACAATCACTCACAACTGAATCATATTATCCTATCAGTGGTCTCCCCACCGTCTCTTATCCAGACCCATCAAGAAACAGTTATTTGGTGGGAGTTAACAAAGACTAAGGCTAGAACAGCCATAGAAATAATTCACTGCGTAGCAACTATATATTTAAGTGAGAAGGCACAATGTACTATAGAAGCAAGATAATACTTGCCTCTTAACATGCTTGGCTAAAGTCTTCTTGCTTGCATGAAGTTTATTACAATAAGGGCACTTGTGCTCCTTCTTATGAAATTCTGTTTCATTATTGTGCTTCTTTCTGTGAACAGTTAGGTTAGACTTTGTCGAATAGCGCTGATGACAAATATCACACTCAAAGGGCTTCTCACCTGTGTGAACCCGTGTGTGGCTCTCATATTTCCCTATAAAAGGAGAGAAATTAGCATTAAATTCAGTATATTTGCTAGAGGGTTATTGAAATTTGACAATAAACCAAAATTTCATGACTAATAACATATTTATTTAACACCCAAAACTAGGAAAAAAGTTTACATTTCTACCTCTAATAATGCTCAAAACTTACTACTTTAAGAATACTGCTCAAAGTATTGTGATCTTTTTTTCCCTCAAAAACTTGGGTCATTTTAAAAAAATTATACTTACACATTTTTAAAAGCATGAGTTTTGGGAAATTTGTTGAAAACTGTACTAGTAAATTCTTTTAATGTATATTAAACAGTAAAATATACTTTTTAATGGAAAACCCTTAGCAAAAGAGCTATTCATCATTTAAGACTTATTATTTCCATATTTTACAGTAGTTAGGCTCTTGGTTGCTAATTGCAAGATCATTAGATTGAATCTACCAGCGGCTCTGCTGAAGAAAGATGAAGCTTTATGCTCCTTTCAAGATTTAAAGCCTTAAAAAAACTATAAAGGATTGCTATGAGTCAGAACTAAGCTGACGAGCTAACGGCACACAACATGCATATCTATGATTTAAAAACAGTATTAAGATTTAACACACCTATTACAAATACCGTACACCCACGACTGCCCTCAAGCTGATTTTAACTCATCATGACCCATAGGACAGAACAGAACTGCTTCTCAGGGCTTCCAAGACCATAAATCTTTATAGACGCAGGCAGCCTCACCTTTCTCCAGCAGAGCAGCTGGTGGGTTTGCACTGCCAACCTCTCTGGTTAGCAGTTTAAGGCTTAACCCACTGCATCACCAGCGCTTCTTAAAAATATCACAAAAAGGTAGAATAATATGCTCACATATCTTATATAGTATTTTCATCTCAATTCCTGCAGAAAGTAATCTGGAAACACTACTAAAATACAAAACTAAGTAATGCCTGTTATAAAACACTTTCCCCTACAGATCATTCATATAAAATGTCTCAAAGTTACAAATGAGCCATGGAGTTGGTTCCAACATATAGCAACTTTGAATAGGGTTTCCCAGGCTGCAGATCTTTGTAGAAGTAGAAAGTCTAAAGTCAGTTCCAACTCATAGAAACCCTGCATAGGATTCTGGAGGCTGTAAATCTTTGTGGGAGCAGAAAACCTCATCTTTCTCCCAAGGAGTAGCTGGTGGGCTCAAACTGCCAACTTTGTGATTCACAACCCAGTGCTTATCCTCTAGAGCCACCGCAAATCACATATATTTGACTACATGCACAATATTAAACTGCTAAAGCATAAGAAGAAGGAAGAAAAGGAAAAGATGAATAGGTATAATTTATAGATAGATATCCAGAGCTATTCTTTATGTGGAATGTGCATACATCACATTCATCAGAGCATTAAAATGTTACAGGTATTTCTAGTAGAAAGAATCAAGAAATGTTTACATATTGAAAGAAAAGATGCAATAACAAACTTTAAAATAAACACATATCTTGGATTGATTTAAAGGAGCTCTGGTAGCGTAGTGGTTACGAATCGGGCTGCGAACCTTAAGGCCAGCAATTCTAAAGATGAGGCGTTCTGCTCCCGTAAAGATTTACAGCCTCGGAAACCCTGTCATAGGGTTGCTATGGGTCGGAACCAACTTGAAGGCACTTAACAACAACTACTTAGAATAAAATGTATTTTATAGCCTTATTTTAAAAATAAATCTCTACATTCCAGAGGTGAACATTACCCTTTGGAAGAGCACAAGTCACTGGCTCCAGGCACCTGAATATGAATCCTGGGCCTTTGAAAAAAAAAAAAGCAAGCTATGTGTCCTTGGACAGTAACCTCTCTGTACCTCAAATCTTCCTCCTTTGACAAATTAGGATAATACTAACCTAAATGTGTACAACTAGCAGTTTAAAGTAAAAATTTCAATAAAGGGTAATTTCAAGTAAAAGCCAACAATAGAAAAAATTAAGATGAAGAACAATTTTCAAATAAAAGACGAGGTTTTTTTTTGTTCTACAAAATAAATGTAATAAAGATATATATATATATATCTATATATATATATATATAGATATATATAGATATATATAAAATTGAATTTAATAAACAAGTAATATGTATATTATGTAAAAGTTCCTTAAAATTAATTGCAATGCACTTACAACATAAAACAACTGAGGAAAAGAAACCAGGGTATTTTCTTTAAGGTAGAGAGAAGAGAGGCAGTCATAGAAAAGGAAAACAAATGTTTGATGAAAAATTCATTAGTTGTTTAAGCATAGACCACAGTCTTATGCTTTTGGAGGGATATTAAAAGTTTGCATAAAAAATGGAATTAAAAGATAATGCAATTTTCCAACAAACTTTTGAAGTCCTCTCATATACATGTAGTTCAAAAACTCAGTACTTGGGCATGTAACTAAAGCTGTGTGACTTTAATTACCTCTATGTGCCAAAGTCTTGGTGTGGCACTATGTGTTAATGCGCTAGACTGCAAAGTCAGTTTGAACCACAAGGTTGGCAGTTCAAGCTCACCAGATGCTCCTCAGAAATACTACACAGGGTTGCTATGGGTCAGAACCGACTCAACAGCACTCAACAATTAACAACAGAATTTAGTAACACTTAGTAGGTTTTTGTGAGAAATAAGTTGGTAGACAACATCCAGCACATTTGTTGTGTTGTTGTTGTGGTTAGGTGCTGGAAAATTGGTTCCAACTCAAAGTAACCTTATACACAACAGTTGAACAAAACACTGCCCAGTCTTGCACCATCCTCACTATTTTTGTTATGATTGAGCCCATTGTTGCTGCCACTGTGCCAATCCATCTCATTGGGGGTCCTCCTCTTTTCAACTAACCCTCCACTTTTATCTACCATGATGTCCTTCTCCAGGGACTGGTCTCTACTGAAAATGTATCCGAAGTATGAGAGACACACTAATAGATATTAGTCATTATTAAGAGTCCCTGGATGGCACAAACAGTTTAACACTCAACTACTAGATGAAAAGTTGACAGTGTGAACTCTGCACACAAAGGTCACCATGAGTTGAAGTGAACTGGACAGCAGTTAGATGCAGCACTAATCACAGTATGAATATGTATCTATACCTTAAATATAAATATGGACAACTCTGATTTATAAATAACCATTACAACGTATCAAGCTGGGGTCTGAGCACTCTTCAAGCACTACAATGATTTTGCTTTTTTCTCCCTCCCACCATTCAATGTAATCAAGTCGATTCTGACTCACAGTGACCCTGAATAGGGTTCCTTTATGGTAACAGGTCTCATCTTTCTCCCATGGAACCACTGGTGGGTTTGAACCACTGACTTTGTGCTAAGAAACCCAATGGCTTAGCATCTCAGTTCCCTCTCTGCCACTGCTAAGACATATCTTCCACTTATAAACGCAAGCATGAATTTAGCATAGTGGTTCTGAATCAGACTGCAAACCACAAGGTCAGCAGTTCGAAACTACCAACTGTTCCGTGGGAGAAAGATGAGGCTTTCTGCTCCCGTAAAGATTTACAGCCTCGGAAACCCTGTACAGGGTTGCTATGAGTCGGAACCGAATGCACGACACATAACCACCACCACTTCCTCAGTTGTATTCAAGGGATGAGATCTGATATTGAGACTTTATTAGAGAAAGGTATTCTTGTGTATACCAAGATGAAATGTGAAATAATTTTTCAGAGACATCACAAATAATCAATAGGTTCTGTAATAAGAGTTGAACTAAAATCGGGATTTTACAAACTAATGTCATCAGTATTCAAGAACCAATTCCTTGGGTTGTGACCACAGTTGGGGGTGGGGTTGGGAGGTACAGAATAAAGCAGAAAATAGCAAAGTGCATTAATAAATTTCATGAAATTTGTACTTCAATTTACATGTGCACATCTATATGTAAATATACATACTGTGTAATTTATAATGCATTTTTTTACTTTGAAATGTCTCAAAACAAGTTTGAAAAAATACTGATTTAGATTTCTTTTTGTGGGTTGTGTTGTTGTTAAGTGCAACCCTGTATAGGGTTTCTAAGGAGCAACAGGTGGGTTTGAACCACCGACCGTGACCAGAACATAAAGATTGCTGTTGTTAACTGTCATCAAGTCAGTTCCACCTCATAGCAGCCCTGCATAAAGTTCCCAAGGAGCGGCTGGTGGGTTTCAAACTCCAACCTTGTGATTAGCAGTCCAGCGCAATAATAACAACTACTATTAGATTATAGTTTGTTTTGGAAACTGTTTTCTAAGATTTTATTCTTCCTCTATTATGGTAGCTTGGCATGTTTTATATTGAATTCCTTAACATTTGCTATATAGCACTTAGATATAAGCGGAGGTACCAACTCAGAAGCTAAACATTATCAGCATGTTCTAGCATCCTATAATTTTAATTTGGAAAGCTAGAGGTCACTAACTGAACCTCTTTTGTGTAGACTTTTTAAAAAGATTTTGGATCAGGAAACTTTTCATAATTTTTAAATTTTGTTTTTAAAATTATATAAGTGATACACACCCATTGTGAAAAACACATAAATCAAAAAATTATACAGCCTGGCTTTAAAGTAACAACCTAGGAATGATTTTAAAAGCAGGCTTTTCTTAACCGAGGATTGCTATCCATGCTTAGTATGTTATTGTTGTTATGTATCATCGAGTCGGTACCAACTCACAGAAACCCTGTGAAGTGTTTTCAAGGAGCACTGACGGATTTGAACAAAAAGATCATTTATCAACCTTCTAATGTTTACATCTCATTTTATTTCCAAGTGTATAGGAACAGTAACTTAATAAAAATCTTTAAAGTATGAGAAATTTTTTCACCAAATCCTTTATCTTCTATGAAAGTATCTTTGCTGAAAAGATGTTAAATTAATAAGTAGTTTTCTCTTTCTCTATTAAGTCAATAATTTCTTCCTTAAATGTAGCTGAATATTAAAACCCATCAAAATTGTAGTAAAAAAAAATTTAAACATTTAGACTACTA